TTAAGTTTGGTTGCTCCGCAAAGTTGGCTGCTCATTCAAAATAAACAAGCCAAGCAGGTCACAGATTTGCTACAGGTTTAACATGAACTTTCTCAATCTTGTGATGATGGAAATCATGAATAAAATTGGAGTAAAACAGTTATCAACTACTGACAAACGTCCACGTGGTTAACTTCCTTTTTCTGACAGGATGGAGGGATGTGACGTTCACTAAGGTTCACAAAGAGTATGTCGAAATGCTCATATTAGGAATGATTCATCACATCCCAACTTTCGCGGCGTAAAAATCAGTGCTACTGTATAGTATTGCACTTCTACAATCGGAATAATTTGTCTCGATAGATGTCATCTATATGGAGAAACAATTGCACCAGTTGCGAAGTGGATATCTTAAATGAACGAAACCAATATTAAGTTATATGATAATGTGATGTGCGAATATTACCGCATTTCATTTACTTCCTTGCTATTTTCGTATATTCAAATGGACAACCAATTTTCAAGCCAAAGACTGTCTGAGACAAAAAGGAAATTAGAAACATGTTTGACGGTGGAGAGATTGGAATTTCAGACATCGAAGTTGGTGATGATGATCTTAACAGTTCTCCATCGCATCGTTGCAGAGCAAACAATGTTATAGATACCATACTCTCAACAAAAAATTCGATGAGATGAAGAGGAAATCTCATATGGATGTTTGATTGATTCTACGGGGGTAGATCGTATTGCTCTTAACAGGAATGATCAATCCATGGAAGGGTTCAAAATATAAAAAAGCATTATCGAACAACTGGGGCAATGGTAACAATATTGCACATTTGTCATTCGTTAGAATATCGCACATGAAGGACTTGATACTCGGTGGAGGAAAGTAAAACTAAGGACTACAGTATTCAAATGATTCATCGCCTGCTTGGAAAGACGCTGCCAAGTTAAATCACATTGCTTTTCATTGCGCATGTTCGCACGATGGTTTGCGCAGTCCTCGTCTTTTGGTTACGTGAACTGGCCTCTTATTCGAACGATGAGAACCCGTCCAATGTTGTTTGCTGGGTTGGCATAGGCGGTTACGTTTTACTGTAGAAGTATGTTCTGTTCTACTCACTGTTTGACGCACTTCTACATAAATATAAAATGCATTTTGGGCTGGATACACTTGGTCGTGATCGCATTGGTTCACTTTGGACCGTGCATGTATGTATCTCCATCTCATTGTATAACTGGGATTGAAGTACCGAAATAAGTCTACAATATCAGTCCGTTGGCCAGCATGTTTCCGGTGGATTCATCTTAAAGCCATTATGCAATGTGTGCGAGTCAGGTTATTTAGTCCGGATCGTTTCACTAACAGGACGGGGGACAGGTGAAACCAAAAACGAATCGCGTTGCACGCATTGCTGATGCGACCCAACCAGGTCGAATCAGTTGTGCACTTTACGCTTCATTTAACCAGGTACGAGAAGATCCTCACTGATCCCAATTTTGTTACCAAAATTTGTGACACAAAAGATAGCTCACTATGTTGCGATCACTATACCTTTTTCAACTTCCATTCATTGCTGAGTCTTAACGGCGTTTTTCAATTGAATGAAGAAGTCAGAAACATGGGTTTGCACAATGTGTCCATGGTGATTTCGCTGCATCTGTCTGTACACGTGCATACTGCACCNACCGCGTTGAGACTTGCCACTAGCGCTTACTTTTTCTTTCCCACCCAGGGCTCCAACTGTGCATAATTTCATCTACACGTTTGATACCTTAAGCACACAGCTACAATTATCACACTTTTTAACAAGTGGTCCAAACCGATTCATACTTCTAGTGCGATTGAACTGGGTCCGGGGGTGGGAGTGGGGGGGGGACAAGGAGTAAAAAAAATTGGTTCAATTGAAAAAAGTCAGAAAAATGGGTTTGCACAATGTGTCCATGGTGATTTCGCTGCATCTGTCTGTACACGTGCATACTGCACCAAAAGTGATCTTTATATAGTCAGTGAGATAACTGCCTTGAGATGAAGACATGACTGCTAATCACAACACAGTAACACGAAAAGAACGGGGGAGGGTAGGGGGTTAACCATCAAGACAAAGCTAATGTGACTAAACAATCACAGATGTACGGTTTACCGAAGATGCATAAAGAAGGAGTTTCATTACGACCCATTCTGAGCGTGATCAATTCATCCAACGTGCATTAGCAAAGTGGATAGCTAAAGTTCTGGTACCGGTGAGAGATTCGATTGCTCAACGACAGATTTGAGATGAGTAAACATCTGACCTATAGAAATATCCAATGGATGTCGAATCCCTATTCAAAAATGTTCCGCTGCATGAGACCATCGAGATTATCTGTAAGACAATTGAGGAAAAGAAATTGCAGTTCAGGTTACCCATCAGTGAATTATCATGAATGCTACTTTAATGCATCTCAAACGTTAGATTTTCTTTCCTCGGACAAGGATATCGGCATGGGTAGTCCCCTGGGACCGATTCTTGCGGATATTTTCCTTGGTAACCTAGAAGAAAATCTTGAAGATATTTCAAAACGAGATCTGTGCTGTCGTTATGTTGATGACGTCTTCGTTATAAGTCATATGAAGGAAGACGGGGAAAACCTATTTAATCGACTCAACACCATTCACCCCAATATCGAGCTAACGCGTCAAGATGAACAGGACGACCGCATCCAGTTTCTACAAATAAACATTAATCGTCGACCAGAGGGATCAAATAAGATCTGTGGAAGAACACGTGATCTGGGCAATATTTGCATTTCACGAGTTTCGTCCCCGTGCGGTACAAAAATGGTCTCGTTCGCACACTATTTCGTCGAGCGCGTGAAATATGCTCAGAGGACTCTAAACGATGTGACTGAATTAGTCAGCAAGCGGTTGAACTCTGCCGTCAAGCGCGTCTACCACGCAGTTGACCCGGTCATTGTCTTCAATATTACCATCGACATCGATGAAAGAATCATTGCCCCCCCCCTCGGCCAAATCAAACTAAATTTACCAATTTAAGTGTGGATGCTCTGCCATCTACATAGGCAGGACAAAGAGGCAGTTACATCACCTAATGGCCGCACACATCCCGGTGTGGCTTAAGAAAGCAACAAGTTCAAAACTGTTACGTCATCGAAGGAGCAGAAAAGACTTAGATCTTCGATAACACAACACTTTGTCGAATAAAAACATGGTGTCACTCCAACTCACACATTTCAGGTCATCGATAACACAACAAACACAAAGTTACCGACATTTGCTAAGGCTCTAGCCATTCATACCCTCAAACCCGATCTATGCAAGCAACGTGAATGGTTAGTCACA